AAAAAAAAAAAAGAAAAGAAAAGCAGCTTTTAGAAGGACTATAGAAAGTGTAGAAAAAACTGCGGTTCCCACGAGCCAAGGTGCCCATCATGAAGCTCGGCGCTTATCTCCGGTTTCTGTAGCATGACGCGACTAAGAGTATTTCTACTTCCCCCTTAGATGGATGCTCGTCTATCGCAGGGACAACCCCCCGGACCCATTTGTTACAGTCGAAGCTCTCTGATACGGACTCCGAAGGGCAGAGCGAAGTGTCTCCATAGAAAGGTGTCCGTATTGGAGAGGACAGTATGATGACGTCACTTTTAAGTCTCCACTGACAGCTTGGAGTGTTTGCATTTGTAAATTTGAGTTTTGAAAACTAACATTTTGACATGTTCTGGTATTCGTATCGCAAAATGATAAAGTGTCAATGTTTTTATAACCTCCGACAGGAAACGGTACATGCCGCAAATTATCGACACCTGGCCCCTGGAGTGTCCGTAATAAAGAGGTTAAATTTGTTTAGATTTGCTCCCCAGGGCCGAGATTTAGCGTCCTTTATCCGTTTTAGGGAGGGTCCGTATTATAGAGGTATTTTTTTTTTAGAGGAAATTAATGTATGAGAATTTTGTCAGTACATAGGAAACTGTCCGTATTAGGGAAGTGTCCGTATAGAGAGGTTCGATTGTGCCTAGTTGGAGAGAGGCACTGTGAGAGCAAAGTGTCTTGCCCAAGATCCAGACGCGAGCGCACTATCCATGAGGTCACCACTAGAAAAAGAGATCCAGAAAAAGTTTTGATGACTATCGTCAGTGATTGGTGTTCACCGCATAGCATTTCTCGTTCTCTCAATTCTATAACGACGACTTAAACACGGGACAGGCCTTCTCGATCCTTGTTCAGAGGAGAAATGACTCCTAATAATGGGCAAAGATGTTTCAGAAACTATGTCAGTTGACACAGAAAGTGAGTAATTAGTACTCTTTTATTTGCCAAACCGCATTTACAGAGCTATTGGCTGGTATTTGCTGATGTAACCACTCAATTACAGATGATTAAAGGATATTGACAGTGTTCCTATTGGTGGTCATGAAACAGTGAAATACGTACCCGTTCATGTCAACACCCGCTGCGGACGGATCATTAATCAAATTACCCGAGTTATCAGTTCGGGTGACACTGGTCTCGCCAGGCTTATGAGACCAATGACCATCGTTATCTCTAAGGAAGAAGTGAAAGTCGACTCCTAGAGATGAAAGGAACAAGATAAGTAAGTCTCTAATTAAGTATTTTATCAAGTATAAAATTTGGTCACGACAGGCGAAAAGTACGGACTTGGTTGTCATGCCTAGTCGTCTGTAATTTCCAAAGATTTTTGCCAATGAAAATTGCGAATGATCGTCTACAGATCCATTATAGTCACTGTGAACTGCAGGCCTAATAATAATTATAAGCTACAAGATCACTCTTTGAGTTCACGTTATATCGGTCAAGTAAAGCAAAATTGTTCTCAAAATATTTTTGGCTCTTTTCTTTGCATTAGAAGCCGGAGAAGCAGCCCACACGAAGAACATTTGGTGGTGAACTACGTGTATAAAGGCTGAAAATGAGTAACTCGTACTCAAAAAATCAAATTGCACAGTTTGCATCAGAATACTACTGGGATACTCTATCCGCAAAGTTGTCAAAAGTTTATCACAATGGCATGGGAGAATATCGTCGAATTGTGGATTACTAAATGTGATTTGCACTTACCGGGCCAAATTACAAGAGCCACCACATGTCTTGGTCCTACAGGGAAGTTGCCGTTCGCAACAACAGCCAATCCATCGGCGATTGCACCAGCTTGCACTGCAGCGCCAGTAAGTGCGATAAAGAGTGCTCCTGCACCTCTACCAGGCTGTGCATAGGTGTCGGTGATTCTGATGTTTGCGTAATTGTAGCAGTTGTTGTCCTCTCTCACGTCGTCAAACATATAGGGAGCTGGGTTAAACGGCGGTGCATAACGCTTCCTTCGAACAGGTTTCATGGGGAGTACAGTTCCTGCTTTGATCGTCTCTAGAATTTCCGCCACGATCGTATCTGGTATCGTGCCTGCTGGCCTGGTCGCGAACAGAGCTTCTTGAAGATCCACCGTTTTCGGGCCCAAAATCAAGCGCTTTGCATTTTTGTATACTACGATGAACCCCTTGTAACCCAACCTTGGTGGCATTTTTTTTTTAGGGTGAAAGGTTTTAGCCTTTTCTGCGGCAACCAGAAGTAGTTGGATTTTCACCATCTTCGGATGAGTGCCTGGAATCACCCATTCTGGATCTTTACGCCCGGAAAATATCCCCATAGTTACTGGAAGTTGTCCTAAGAACAACAAAAAAATAGCAATAATATCAGCATCTGTGATCGATTCTCTCAGTCTCCTGCAGAACGCATGATGCCTGGATCCGCTAGCCCCTATGGTTATTCCAGGCAGCCAATACTGTAAGTGTATCATCTATATTTCCAGTAATTACGATCGAACCTCCCGTAAGAGCTTACGGGAAGCGGTCGCTTACGAGAGCTTAGACCATATTGGGTCACAATTTTACCTCATTAGCAAATACAGTCCAACCTCCCGTAAGCGACTACCCAAAATGTCAAGCCTAGGTGGTCGTTTACGAGAGCTTAGACCATATTGGGTCAAAATTTACCCTCATTAGCATATGGTAACTGCAGAAACTTAACCCATGTTTTTCATGTTTATTCATGTGAAAAGTCATTTCGAGAAAAAATCCGGTACTTACCATTAAGATATTTTCCTCTCTTGTACTACCAAGGAACGTGATCATATTACAACACCTTATTATCCAATTTACGCTCTATTATTTGTAAAGCGGCTACGAGTGGAAGTATCCTCTCTTCAATCTCTTTCCTAGGTTGCCTGTTAGGTCCTTCGCGTTTCGCTTCGGAGTATCGACTCAAAAGTAATCAAACTTGCATGGCATGTAAAGTATCCAAAGATGGTAACTTTAGTGATAACCACATGTCAGTCATTTCGCCATATTACGCGCGAATGAATTCACATGCATCTCAAAAGATCTGCCGTCTTGGATTTCACAAACTTTTTTTTCAGAAATATCAGAACGGTCCAGAATGTATTGAAGAAAGTGAGGAGACATATGTAGATGAGAGCACTGTGCCGACTTTGCAAATTCCAAAATCTCTTTAAAACACATATTGTGCCTTGCAAGACTCTAAATTTCTGTAAAACACTTCTTGAAAACATCCTTAGTATTAACAACGTTAAGTTACGTGACCAACCATTGACACACCAAAAGTCAAAAAGATGGACGACTATAGTTTGAATTCCTGTTTAAAAAATAGCGAGAACAGGTTGAATTGCTTTTAACAGAGATATAAGCCAGGAGAAAATTCATTAATTTTGCCTTCGGATGTTTGATTATAACCAACGACGCGTGCGCAATATTTTGCGACATGATCCATTGTTACAAACCTCATTTAAACAACGAACCGGGCCCTTGATTATATGGATACCATATTACTTCTGTTGAAGAGGGAGATTGATCTGTGATGTACCCGCTGTTAGCGAGGATCAAATACGACGCTCGTCATGTCTTTGATCAGGTTTTTAATGTTGACCAATAACGCGTACGGAAACCGCGTAAAACCAAAGTGACACGAGGTTTGGTGGAGAAGTAGAAAATCAACTACAAAAAGGTTTTGCATGCATTGAAGTAAAGAAAGGCAAGTATGTCAAACGACCAACAGGTTGCTTAATATTTATTTGTCTATCCTTTAGCTTCTGTCCGGTGGCAAAGTATAGATATATCTCAAATATCGGTAATTCGACTTGTTACTAAATAGAAACTGATAATCATCCTAAACAAAAAAGTTGAGTTCAGTTTGTTATTCGAAATTATCTATTCCCTTTCTCGACAATAAATGAGAAAATAAATAAAACAAAACACGAAGCAAATTACTATTAAATATCTTGGTTGCGCGGTTGCTTCTTGATAAAAACAAGTAAGTAAGTAAGTAAGTAAGTAAATAAATAACAATAAATTAACAGGTTAATAAATGAAAACGCTAATAAAGAACTACACAAACAAGTAATGCGATAATTAAAATAATTACAAAAAAGGTGTAAAGTAAGTAAATGTCAAAATGTTTGATTTCCCAGTTTCCCCTTGTTATGATCTTTCGGGAGCCATTTAAATTTACTACAGTATCCTTTATAAATAAATAAAGAAAAAAAATCAAAATATAAGCAACAAACCTGAAATTTCCTCCACGAAGTAGAGTTGCAGAAAGGCAATTGCCAGTACCCGAGATACAAACATGTCTTACGATTTCTGTTATCGAAAGGAAAAGAACTTTCACATTGTCAAAGTTATTAAAATTTATCCGTCTGTACCCTTATTGATGATAAAAAAGAGCCAATCAACGCGTGAGAAATTAGACAGTTATTGTAAAAATACCATTTTATTTTTTGTCAGGCGTTAACGGGATCCGAAGACCAAGGTATGTTCAATCCCTGTTAGCAGACAAACATTGGCTCAGCAGTAGCTTTCAGGAATAAACCAGTTTTTTTTCTACACTGAACCGACGAGGTAATCATTTTTCTTTATTACAAAACAATTTCAAACCTCTAAATCTAGAGTGGGGCGATAATTGTTTCAGGGATGTGAATTAAGTTATAAAGAGAACATTTCATTATCTAAATGGACAAACAGAAATCAGGATTCCAGCACTTTTAAAGCTACTTTGTTGTCGACAACACGAAAGCGCACATATACAAGTTAAAGTCATCTATTCTCTATTAAGATTTATCTCAGCTGGCAGCTTCACTTACCGGCTCTCGAAATCCTTGAACTTCAGTGAACTTTTCGTTGTTAATTCTTCTATTGCTAGAGAACTTGAAATGAAACATGTCGTTCCCTTGGGCAGCTATAAAGGCACAGACATCTCATTCATAATTGATTATAACGAAAAGTTTCAAAATGATCATATTAGTAGAGCATCTTAACAGGTTACGATGGATCTTTTTAATAATTAACTAGCCTTTAACTCATTTAATGTTGCAATAATCAGAAGCCTCAACTCCAGTAGACAACGAAGTTTAAAGCTTAGGAAAATATATTTTTTCATGCAGGACCCTTCACATAGAGTAAAGGGACTAAGGTAATAAGCAGTCAGAAATAATGTAGTACCTGCTTACGGATCCTTTCTTTCATATCTTTTAACCTTCTCATGTTTACCAATCAAACAATGGGGGAGTTTAACCTGTGCATTCCAAACATAATTAGCTAATACCTCCTTTTGTTGCATTTAGAGGACAAATTACGCTAATGGCTTTAAGCTCAGCAGTTCTCATATTTCACGCTCATTTAGATTAGTGAGGTTAACACCACTAATAAGCAACTCGACGCTTGAAAGAACAGAAAACAGGAAATTGGGTTAAAGTATGACTTTCTTTGGTAAAACATGCAAATTTCAGTCGAAGAACAGATCGCATGAGCCGTTTTATCTGTTGTGTTAAGGGGATGGCGTGGAATTTTTGCGTTTTGACTGGAAACCCTAGACAATGGTTTTGTAAAATAAGGACTAAAAAGGTAAATGAGTACTAACTCTAAACAAAATGAGAATCATATGAATAACTTGGTTGAAATGACCTATTGAATAAAAAAAAATAATAATAAAAAAAAAAACGATGGAAATTTAATCTGAAATCTTCCGTGTTTTAATTTTTTTCGTACTGTTTGTTCCCATCTTCTCGTTACGAAATTATCAATAGAGGCGTTTTATGACCTGTGCAGTTTAAATAGAATTTGCTAATATGATTGTTTTTTGGCGCTATCGGGACATTGCAAGGTGTGTTAACCACTCCAATTCTCGTATTTCGCAACGTTAGGGAACACAACCAACTCAACATTTCAAAAAGCAGGAAATGGAGGGAGAGACTCGTTTAATTACACAAGGAGATTCTGTTTAAAGTGGACTTTCTTGAAGTGAATGCATACGATTTTTCATCGAAAAATGAAATAATCACGTGACTAGTTATCTTATCTTTGGTTGTTATCAGCAGTTTATTGGTGGAAAGATCTTTGGGTGCAACAAGAATTATAAACTTTAGCCGGTCGATAAACAGGAAAAGCAGTCGAATCTTAGAAGAAGTTATTTTTTCTTGGTAGTTATATATGCATAGTAAGTAAACGTAAGCAGTCAGAAACAATCGAGTACCTGTTTGGAACCTTTCTAACCCTCGCCCCCATTTCAATCGTCCATTAACCTTAAGTTACGAGTCAAAAATTGGGGCGTTTTACCTGTGCATTTTAAACATAATTTCCTAATGGCTGTCTTTATTGTTCCATTTACGGGAAAAATTAGGCTAATGGCTTTTACCTGTGCAGTTCTCGCATTTTACACTGATTTTTTATTGCCAACGAGCCAGCCGAGCGAAGACGCTCGGCTGGTGAGGCGGCAGAAAATAGTGCCGCGCGAAGAAAGCTGCATGCAGAAAAATTCTCGATCCAGCTCTGAAAGTGTAAGTGTGAGTGTAAGGTGTAAGGTTGTCCTCAGTTTTAGCCAATTGCTGGTTTTCAGTGCCACGCAATTCAAAATAGATCAAAATCAAAATCAAAACCGGTCAATAAATAAAGTCCAGAATCTGGGAAAT